GAGCGGGCGGACATGCTCAACCTGCTCATCAAGCTCAAGAACGAGGGCTTCGTGCCGCCGGACGCACACGGCGAGCACGCCGACAAGGGCAACGGCCCGACCAACGGTAGGAGGTTCCCGCCCTGCGTGTCTCTCGAATCACCTAACTAGTTGGCTTCTTTGAGAAAGGCAGACCTAGGCAGGCCGCTAAGAATCGTGTTTATGTTCGATGTTTTGTTTTTTTAAATCAGCGTAGTGGGGAGTGTTTTGAATATATTTCTTTTAATATTTCTTTCTTTTGAATGCCGAAGAGATCGATCTGATCTGAAGTAGAGGTGTGTAACGTCAATCTTGTCATTTTTTCAGGAGTCTCAAAAGAGAGCCGAACGAAACTAACGCAGAAGGAAATCGCCGCCCAAGTCTTCGTCTTCTTCCTCGCGGGCTTCGAGACCACCTCCACCACGACCTCCTTCGCGCTCTTCGAGCTGGCCAAGCACCCCGACGTTCAGGAGAAGGTCCTCCAGGAAATCGACGCCACCCTCAGGAAGTACAACGGCCAGGTGACTTACGAGGCCATCATGGATATGCCGTACATGGAAATGGTTGTCCAAGGTGAGTTTGATGTCTACAGGAGGTCATTCTGTGATACTTGTTTAGCGTTGAGGGTGGAAAGGTTAAGACAGAAAGGACTAAGTTTCCAACAAAAAAAAAAAAAAAATCTTAAGAAAACTTTTAGAAAAAAACTTTTAAAAAATTAGAATAGTTTTGTTAAAACTCCTAGAATTCTGACGATGTCGCTTTAGAGACCCTGCGCATGTACCCGGCGGTGCCGTTCCTCACCCGGGAGGCCATGGTGCGGCGCCAGCTGCCGCTCACGGACGTGCTGCTGGACAAGGGCACCCGCCTCATGATCCCCGTCAACGCCCTGCACTACGACCCGCAGTACTGGGACCAGCCCAAGCGCTTCGACCCGCTCCGCTTCACGGAGGAGGCCAAGAAGGCCAGGACCGGCATGGTTTACATGCCGTTCGGCGACGGACCCAGGATCTGCATCGGTGAGTTCACTTCACTCACAAACAATAACAGTGTACACCCTCCAAAATAAATCAGGAAATACCAGGAAAAGCAGAGGAAAAAAAATCAGGAAGAATCGAGAAAAAAATATCAGCTTAAACAAAAACAATAAATATGTGTTTAGAAAAGTAAAAGAAAATTAATAATAACCAAGATCACCAAGATGAAGCAGAAACAATCGGTGTACGCTTGAATATGTAGCGAAGTGCGCCTGCAAGTGTGTGACAGAGGGTGTAACGCTTGTCCTGCAGGGATGCGCCTGGGGCTCGTCCAGGTCAAGATGGCCCTCGTCACCATCCTGTCCCGCGCCAAGGTGTCCGTGCCGCCCGACATGCCAAAGGAGGCCAGGATGAACCCCCGCTGCATCCTACCCACCCCCATCGACGGCATCCGGCTCAACGTCTCGGCGCGTTAGAGCCCAGGCACCGAAACTTGGTCGTCGATTCGCAAGACAAATAACTGCTTGTCGATATGGGCCGATTGCAGTTCTGGGCGATTCCAATGCAAGGGTGTCCGTACGTCACGCGATTTGTGAGCGATCAAGAGGTGCTACGGCTTTGTACAAATCATGACTTTACGCGTCTTGAGACGGCTATTCTGGACATATATTGCAAACAACGTAGCGCCTCTCAGTTGCTTACAAATCGCGTGACGTACGGGCGTTTTTTTCGATTTTTTTATACAGTTTTTTACCATTGCCCTTCTGTTGAGATGCAGGACAACAAATCCGACGTTTATAATAAAAAGATGGCTGGTCAAGAACTTTTTATTGATTTGTTCTATCAATCCCACAGTGTTTTCATATAAGATCAAGTTTAAAAGAAATAATCGCTTTTTCCCAGGTAGAAAAACCAGTGAAACTGCATTATGACATGCCTGCTCAATGACATACCAGGTGTCTGACGCACCTTCGTAGTCATCCCGCACCGCATGCACGTGTGCGGGGCGGGTGGTCTGCCTACTCGCACGGGGCCATAAAGTGCCGCGGGCAACAGAGAGAGGCAAACCCGCCCGCACCCGTGCATGCGGTAGAGTATAACTAGAGAAGTGCGCGGCGTGAGTCAGCCACCTGGTATACTCCGTCCAGTTCTGTTTGTTTTCCTTTTCTTCCGCAGTGTCCGCGACTTTGCGAGCGCGCGGTTTTGTGTGACCGCGTGTGACCACTGTCGTCCCAGCAAGGAGCCCGCTATTTTCGTTACATTTGCGTGACTTTCAGCCCCGTCGTTAGCTTTGACCTGCGCCGTGCCGGTACGGCCGGTACTTACACACACACGTACACACACACACACACACACACACACACACACACACACACACACACACACACACACGCCGATGTCGCTGAACCCCTCCCTCCCGCACTATCCGCCTGACCTCGCGCGCGAGAGAGAGACCGGAGATACTGGGCGAGCAGCAGTGACTGGCAAACTTAGCTGCGATGACTCGCCGGAATCAACGCAGCATCGGACCCAAA